ATATTAAACGAGTAGTAGTTTTTTTTGTGTCTGTCATCACGTTTTAGGACAGTAAAAGTGCTTGGAATTTCTTCAACAGTAGCTTTTCTAATAGGAAAGTGAATCTAGTTGGTACTTTGGGGGGTCAAATGTAAAATTGTCACAGTAGTTTTCAAAAGCGGCGTGAAAAACAAAATAAAAATTAAGGAAAAGCGGGAATTTTTACGTAAAATGTGTTTTCGAGAAAATTGATTTTGGTTTTTGGCGTAACTTTAAAGAAATGACCGTAGATAAAAGAAATTTTCACTGGCTGTTTATATTTGCATTTTCTATACACGATAACGTTTTCAAAATATTTAGGGACATTTTCATTTTCCATTTGTTTTTAGTTTTTTTTCTAAAAATATTAATAAAATTTTATTTGTTGGTTGCGAAAGCTGCTTGAAAATTTAATAGAAGGCTCCTAATATATTGTTTCAAAGGTAGATGAAAAATATTAAAAATCCTTAGTCACAGTTTTTTTTTATAAGCATTTAAAGTTCAAAAATTTACAAAATATGGAAAAATCCCGAAAATTAGCAAATTATTTTGTGTTAAGAATTCGTAAAAAATTTTCTTTTTAAATCTAAGGTTTTAAAATGTAATACAAGATTCGTTATAAGATTATCTGCCTTTATTAAAAAAAAAAAAAAAAATGCATATAAGAAAGTCAAATTAAATTTTTATGAGCGTTTGAAATTCAAATTTTTACAACATTGAATATTCACTCGATTTCTCATGTAGCGATTTCCTTATTTTGTTATAATTCAAAAACGAATAACTGTAGATACATGAACATTTCACTGATTGTTTATATTAATATTTCCTATACACCTTACAATTTTGAAAATATTGTGACTCTTTTTGAGCTGTTTACGGACATTTTCAGTTTTCAATATTTTCAGTTTTTTTTTCTATAGAAATCAATAAAGTTTTATCTGTTGGGCCAAAAAGTGTAAAAATTTAATACAATGTGTCTGATATATTGTTACAATATCAGTTGAAAAATATTATAAATACATAGGAACAATTTTTTTTATAAGCATTTACAGATCGAATTTTCACCAAATTTATGAAATTTAAAATTGAATAATTATTTTGTAGTTAAAAATTTTTAAAATGTTCAACTTTTATATCTAAGCATTGAAAATTTAAAACAAGATTCCACGTAAGTAGTTAATTCTGTTACCAAAAAATCTAAAAAAATACATAAGCACAGTTTATTTTTATAGTCATTTTAAGTTCAAATTTGGACGAAATTACATAATAAAAAACCTACAATAATTATTTTAACTTGAAACTTCTAAAGTACACTATTATATATCTATGATAGTATTAGGGTTTGTTGTTACTTGTTTATGTATAATGCGTTATAGTACCTAATGGATATTGTGATATGATTAATTTGGAATTTATTATATTTACCTATTATATTTCAATTTTTTTTTAATACCATAAATATGTATATATAACATGTGTTATACCTAGACTGACATACCGTCTTCGCTCAGAATCGTTTTTCTAATACAATGATATTATATCATTGAATTCAAATTTAATATTATCCATTATAGAGTGACCAACTTGTAAGATACTGTACAGCAGAGCACCTTTTTATTTTTATATCCTGTAGACAACATTTCTACCAGAATGAGTTCTTCAATTTCAACATAAAGATTCTTATCTTTTACCAAATTTTATAAAGATGGTACTTTAGAGGGGTCATTTTTCGATTTTATCAATGGTTAATGGTTATAACTATATATATTTAATGCCACGGTGAAAACCACCAAAAATTACGAAAAACCGCTAAAAATTGGATTTTAATATCTAACGCTTTGTTTATTACCATTGAAACGAATAAAAAAAATAATAATATTATAATATTAATTCAAATAATAACTAATAACAATATAAAATATCCAGACTGACAAACCGCCTCTGTTCAAAATCGTTTTTATTATACAATGATATTATATTATTGAATTCAAGTTTAATACAACCCATTATACAATGACCCAGTGGCGTCCACGGGGGGCTAACCTGAAGGGGCTAACCCGAAGCCCTCCGAATTGCCCGTATTATTAGATATTACTTAAAAAAAAATATTTATCAAGTTTCAAAGTTTCAATTGTCAACTATAGTAAGCAAGACGTAAATTTCAAATACGTCTTACCGGAATGAATTCATTTTTGAAAAAACATTGTACATGCATACAAATTTCGTACATTTTCTGTAATTTTTCGGTAAAAGTATGAACTAGGTACTTGTATAAGATACCTTGTATTAAATTGTCTAGCCTTAGCTATACACATTTAATATTTTATGAGGTCGGAACAAAAAATTAACTGCGGTTTTGACGAAATTTGAACTCAAAATGATTATAAAAAATAACCATGATGCCTATGTATTGTTAATATTTTAGCTTTAATAAAAACTTACGTATTACGTTTTTAAGCTTTTTGAAGAGATAAAACATTTTTTGTTGACATTTATAGAAAAATAAATTTTCATTTCTTTTTCTAAAATTATTTTAAAAAGCACTGAGCATTTTCAATTTCGACCTAATAAAAGTACCAACTAGATCCAATTTGCTTCCAAAAACATACATTGGGCATCGAAGCTTATGATCAGAGCATTTTTTTACCCCCCCCCCCCCCCCCTTGCGTACGCCACTGCAATGACCCACTTGTAACCGATTATACAGCAGAGCGACATCCACTTACCCGCTTTTTATTTTATAAACTCCATGCGTCACGCTTAATATAAAATATATAACCAAATCATTTCTTTCATGAAATATTGTTGTTGTAGCAAATTATAGTCTAGTTGTGGCTAGGATCCCTCCATTACCTATGATAAATATTTATTGATTAGATACTTACCTACATAATGGTTAATATTAATATTAATGGGTTATCAATTGTAATATAAAATAATTAATCGTTTGGAAAAATATAGGTACTGTTTAATGAATCTGCCCTAATTTTATTGATACCTACGTTAGTTTCATGTTTCAAATTATATCCGAGTAAAAATTTTAATTGAAATTTCAGCATTAACTGTAATTGTTTTACAATGCAATTAAAATATGAATATAATTGTTTAACAATGCAATAAACAATCTATAGTGTTAGGTTTATAAGTGTACAACAATAAAAATACTACCATAACATTTTATTTTTATACAGTATACCTACACCAATATATTATGATGATGAGTTGATCAAACATATACCTACCCATAATAATGTACCACAGTCAAGAGGCCTCCGCCACTGCCATCAATTTTAGCTCAAAATACCTTAAGTTTTAACAAATTTAAAGTTAGGTTTGTTATGTAACATGAGCTTGTGCCAGTAGTCCAATCTCTATTTACCTACCTAAATGAATAATTATTAATCATTGACATTTCAGTATAGAATTTCTTTTTGCCATAATTGTCAGTTATACAACAGATGTTGACAACATTTTATCTTTGAATTTAATTTGAGCTCATCATAAATAATATTCTTATTGAATATTTTGGTTGGGTACTATGCTTGTGTGCCATCTGCCGCCTTACCTAATTTTTAAAGCTTTAACAAAATCATGTTTGTACCATGTATTTTTCTATACTATATAATTCATGTTAAGAAGGAAACTCTGTGGCCAATTTGTGTGCAGGGGAATGATTTAACATTTAACATTCAATCATTTAACCACACATATGGTTGACTCAACAAGGGGGAGAAGTGGGTGTTGCCCGACTAAAACTGATCGCTGCTGAGGTTATTTAACGTGAATAGAGTATAGATAATTTACTATACCTCATACATAGGTTTATTAACTGTCCATTTAATGAACTTTCAAAAGATAAATTTAAGAGCTTATAAATAAAGTAAATAAATCTACATGATTTTCTTAGATACAATAGAGTGTTAATAACTCAAATGTTTATCATGTCCCTTGAAGTATTTTTAAGTTATATTTGAGGCTTATAACTTGAAAATACATACCTATGAAGTAAATTATATTTTTATTTCTCTCGAGATTCAACTGTAATCTGTATAAATAAAATCAATTTTATTGATGGACACATATTAACCATTATTTAAACATATTTATTTTCATATGTATAGAATTTTTAAACTTGGTAATATAAAAAAAACTTCAATAGGTATTCAACATGAATTAAGATATACAGGATATGAAACAGAAAGGTCCTATCAATGTTTTTCTGAGTCCGTCTATTCTCACTATTTGGCATGACAACTAGCTCTTTATAGGATTGTTCTGGGTTAATCGGGAGAATAAGGAACTAAATAAAAAATTATTCTCCTAGTTGACACAGAACCTATTAAGCACGAGTTGTCATGCCAAACAGTAAGAAGGTTTGGGCTTCACTTATCACACGTTTGTTCGGTATCCTGTATATCTTAATTTGTGTAACTTGGCCATATTAAAATAAAAAATAAAATTTTAAATTACAATTCTTGAAGTATAATATTAGTTCTAACTAATTGTTAAAAGTTAAAATATAAAAGATAAAATAATATTGTGAAAAATGTTTTAATGTTTAATATACAAGTAAATACTTTTAAAAAACAAACATTAAATGTTTAACCACAATATTTAAAAAATAAATCGTAAGTTAATAAGCTTAAGCTCACATATTAATTTTGTGTTTAAAATAAAATGTTTCAATATTACATTATAATTTAGAAAAATAAATAATGAAAAATTTCAAAACTATTAGTTAATTTTTGACATAAAATAATATAAACAAATTTTAAGCTCAGTATTATTAAATTTTACCAATCTGAAATAGAAAAAAAGCCGTTTATGAAATTATATTTAGTTACTAACATTTTAGTATTTTGTAATTGAAAAACTGATATTTTTATTTGTAATGCATAACTTACTGTTACATACAATTAAACAATAAAATAACTGAAAACATTTACCATATGATTTGATAAAAAATTAAAATTAGTTTTAGATCACTCGTCGTTCTCATCCCCACTATTTATCTGAACAGGGCCATGTGAGATTCTTTCTTCATAGAACTTGATAACAATTTGTGGGCACATTAAATTAGCCGCTTGAGCTGGGACGCATTCAACAACGTCCATTCCTTCAAACTTCATTAAATATGTTAATTTTCCACCACAATTATAGACAGCCATAATTTCTTCATAATTTTTGTTCATTGTAGATTTTTGGTCAGACAAGACTTTTTCTTGATAGAAGTTTTTAACTATTTGTGGGTACATTATATCAACCTCTTTGGCTGAAACTACTTCAATAGATTCAATATCTTCCCACTTCATAAAATAGTACAGTTCTCCACCAGCATTAGTAGCACCCATAATCCTCTCAGCTTTTCGTACACTGGAATAAAAATATATTAATACGTTATTAATAGTATAATGAAATAGATGTATCATTAATTTAAAAATATTTCCTGCAGATGACACCAAAAAACATCAATTAAAATGTTATCAATACGCCATTAATTTTAACTTTGTCAGAATAACAACTAAACTATTGGTTTTTTTATACACTTCGCCAATTGAACCAATTATAATTATTTTAAATAAACATTAAAATCAATATTTAAATTTTTAATTAGTGTACACCAGTCTTGTAAAGTATTTGAGTAAATGTATTTAAATACTTTTATTGTATTTAGAATACTTTTTAAATACTTTTTGAATAAAGTTATTACGTAACTAAATATTACCGTAATATACGGTTTTGGACGTATTTGTATTTGAAAATCAAATACTTTTATTTAAATACTTTATCGATTTTTTTTCAATAATAAATGATTAATTATTATCTGTTTTCTCAGAAATCAAAGTAATATCATGACTAAATAATAATATAGTCATGAGTAATATCATTGAAATTTAGTAAGTTTATTCCCGACATAGCCTCCTAAAATGCAAAATATTATTGTTTTTTTTTCATTGAAGCCTATATTAGTTTATTGTGATGTGAATTATTTGAAACTCCAAACTATAAACATAGAACAATAATGAAGCGAAACTCGATCAGCTGATTCGGTTTACGACTTTACGTTTACCTATGATCTTATTTTTTTTCCTGTTGAATAATTGAATAGTATACATACGTAATATATACATTAATACAAATATTTTCACTACAGAAATATATAAATTATATATAAATTATTTTCTCCAGAAGCTAGGTTTGTTGTGGAGATAAAGGTTCTTATAATATCTATTTAGTTCTCATACAATAAATAATTAAAACGTTCATTAGGTGATTATTAACTTATCATACAATTATAGGTACCTTTTTTAGTACCAGAATATGGAACATGCATTATAATATATGAACTATTAAGTATTAACTATATAATAATAAATTAATATGTACAGTTTGAATGAGTTTGATCTCATGGTCAAATTTAAAGTTAAAATAATATCAGAGAAAAAGTATTGAACCCAAAGGTAAAACTTAAAACAAATGTATTAAAATAAGTATTTGTGTTTAAATACTTTCTAAGTATTTGTATTTGTTCTTAAATACTTATTGAAAAAAGTACTTTAAATACTATTTAAATACTTTTTAAGTTGATGTATTTGTATCTCTATTTAAATACAAATTAAAAGTATCTTTTTACAAGATTGCAAATAGGTAGGTACTGCATAAAATTATGTACTACATAAAATGTTACTTAGGTATTTTAGATTATTTATTAAATTACATGTTCGTACCTAGGCTTATAAAAGTCTTTGTATTTAACAATTAATGCCTTTTTATAAACTAAACTTTTTTATAAATATCACCATGGCCACTAGATAAATGTAACAGAACACATAATGGAATATAATTTGTTATTTGTGTTTGCTTTTTAAATAGTTACAAGTATACAACTATTCATTTACTTGATAAACTTGATAGTACTAAAGTACAACATAATTAAATAATTAAAACAAAAATACTATCCTATTGATTGTAGCCCAAGACGGATTGAATATTATGTTTGACATATTATATTAAAATAATTTAAAAGGAAATTTATATTCTTTTTTTTTTTATTATAAAGTGTTTTTTTCGTCTAATTTATTTTTATACTTCGAGATGAATAGACAACCGGGTTATTATCATTCTGGAAATTTTTAAAATGTAGAATGTAGTTATTTTAGTATATAGGTACAGTACATTCAATCCGTAAGTGATAATCCATGATAAATATTTTTTTCTCGTGTTATAATCATTATATTACAATTTTCAGTACATAATAACATTTTTGTTTCATTGTATTTTTTCCGTACCTAGGTACATATTATTAAGTTTTGATTGTAACAAATATTAAAAATGAAAATGTATAATATTGTTAGGTAGGTATGTTGTAAATTGAATATTGTTCTTTTACATAAAGCGTTTTATATTAAAAGTCAGCAATAGATACCTAATTTATATTTGTTTTTAAATAATTCATACATGTTATTATTATCAATATTATTTATTCTAAACCTGAAACTTAGAAATATTGATCACAGATTTTAGCTTTGAATACACCATTAAGAAGTGCTTCTAAAACTATATTACGTGATTATTTTAAAATTTAAAATGTTTCATTTTTAAGTTAAAATCGTTCTAATTATTTGTGGTAAATAAATGATTGGTCCTGCAGTATATTATTTGGAAAGGTTTTGTAAATGTTGGTCTTCAGTTCCTCGCAATACTGTGTGAGGGTGCTTGATTTAAAAAAAAAAAAATACTCATTCTGGTCATCTCCCTGAGATGGGCGTATTTTTTTAATTTTCCCCCGGTGTTAAAAAGCTATGATCCGGCCCTGCATCAGAGTAAGAATGAAAAATGTTTATAATTCCGAAAATTTAACAGATGCTTTATTCCACAAATTTCATATATATTAACATTGAAACAATTATAAAATACAATTTTAAATATATATATTTATATGAATAAATTGGTTTTTGAATTCCATAATATCTATAAAACAAGACGGACGTTTAATGGAATTTAGGATTAATCAAACCTATTACCTACATCTTTGATGAGTACCTACCTAATTCTTATATTAACAGAGGATCAAGTTATTTAACCATCTACCCCTAAATATCAAATTGATTGCTAACAATATCAAATTTAAAACAATGATAAAAAAATTACATATGAAATCATTTAAAAATCATTTTTAATATAAGTCTTTAATGTTATATTAATTACAGCTGTTGTATTTTTATTAAGGACTAATTATATGATTTACTTTTTATTTTCATTTTTATCAATAGGTATTATGAACTGTAAAATTATGTATAGTTTATTCATTAATATTGTAACAGACTACTTATTACTCTCAAATCATGATATTGCTTATACGGAGTAGGTATCAACTTGTAATGTTAATTTTTAAATGTAAATATTATTATGAAGAAGTTGAAATATATTTTTATTATTATTATTAATATATTTTAAATATTAATTTTAAACATATAATATAATATACCATATATATCATAATTTACTATATATATATAATTTTTTTACTTATAAGGTATGGTAGGAATATAACTATGTCTCATAAATGTTTTGAACCAGGGTATAACTCTGGTTTACCCAAATAAAATACAATTTATGAACAGCAGATAACTAAACTACCTTTAATATATTATTTCCTATGCTAATTATATAGCATAGGAAATAATGTAATTACTAACTTATATTAACTTATAAATAATGTAAATATGTAATTATATTTTTTTGTGTAATTGAATATCATTTATCCACCGTATATCACAAATGTTATTCGTGATTTGTTATTCTATTTTTTCATATTAATATTTACTGACCTTGAAGCCATGTTTGCGAAGGTTTGTTGAATGACACTAGGTACCGGATATCAATGACCAGCGTCGGGATATACAAATCAACTACTCGGCAGGATCCGTTTGTCCTTTGAAACAGTCTGTTCAGCGGTAATGCAATCTAAAGAAATAATTTGGTTACAGTATAATTATTTACTTACATAGTTACATGCAACATTATTATACATTTTCAATCCTTAGCTATACAATTTATTTTATGAATATTTAACTACTAAAAAATTTGATTAGTTTTTAAAAGGGCTTCAAACCGGTTAAACCCGGTTGTGCGACGGCTGCACATCAAGCCCGTTGACGCGTGTACGCGTATGCGATTGCGGCTACACGTAGCGCGTCGCGTGTGACTTACCTCGTCGGCGACCTGTCGATAACCCTGTCATGTGGGAGTGAGTGGACTGTATTAAAATAGATAGAAAAACATAGGAGCTGGTTGGGACAGGAACTTAACACTGTAACGACAATACGAGATACCTACCTACTGCGGTAACGCAAATATAAAGCAGTTGTTTGCTGTCTAAAATATACAAATAATTTATTATATGTTCTGCAATTTAACCTTATGTACTAGTGGTTCGCGATCACAAGCCGATCGGCAAAAACAATATAATAATACGTCGAAGACGACGAATGAAACAAATAAAATAATAATACGAAATGCGTCGAAAACCCTATGACGATAAAATACAACAACAAATAATGCGCGTGTGTACGACCTGATACGCTGAGGTTGATAGCAGGTGATAACGTGGCGATAGAGCTGTTGACCCGGAACGACGGTGAGGCTGCAACTGTTCGCGTCGGCGACACTGGTGCTTCCGTCGAAAATGGCGAATGTGGTCGACGACACCGCGTGCTTGCGTTCGGTGGTCGACGATGGCGTGGAGGCGTCGGAACGAAACCAAAATAGGCCGGCGCGGGCAAAATTACAATCGGCACTTGCGTACCCGTTGTCGCGGCACAAACGACAACACTTAAACGTCACGGCTGATACGCTCGCACGATATAGGGCGGGCGGAAAACGCGTAGACGCGTGAGACAATATTCGCGTGGCGAATGTCGTACTGATGACGACGCAATACAATAAAACGATGAGCGGTAATGACCGCGAGGACGGATTCGCACGACGTCGAACGGACGGACGAAAACAATACGTGTACACGTGGGTACGTGTGAACGAGCCGTGCTCGAACCACACGACGATAGTCGGGCGGGCGACAAAATTACGATATTCTGAACGAATGATCGCACAAATACTTCGGTGGCGACGCGGCGTAAATGCGACGCACACAGAAGGAACCGACGGATTCAAATGACGAAAACGACGGGCGAACGGTAAACGTGTAGACACGTGAGGACCACGGCGGGGTCGCACTGCGTTAGAAACGGGCGGGCGACGAGGAAAATAACAATAAGGTTAGGTTAGGCTAGGTTCACATGAAGAGCGTTAAACGCGCGTTTACAATAATGAATGCAGCTGTATCTTAACGCGCGTTTACAGCTTTCCGACGCGTTGCAAGGCGTTAACTCGCGTCGTCATTCATCCTGTGTAAATTTTCTAAACGCGCGTTAGCCAAACGCGCGTTTAATGCTCTCATGTGAACTTGGCCTTAAGCCTTATGTCTGAGAACTTATTTTCGGACCTTATTCGCGTTCCCCGCTAAATTTACATGCCGTACTCCGATCACGCGGCGTGCAAACCGAGCGCCGCCGTCGCTCGCGTTTTTTGCCGTTTTTGTCGAAAATTCCAGTTTTAGCCATTTTCGACACGTCGCCCTCCCCGCTGACGACTTATTCGCATTTTCCGTTACATTTATAGGCCGTACTGCCTCGGGGTCGAGTCCCGGGGCGGGCGGGGTCGCGGGAACAAGACGGCCGAAATCGCCGCCGTCAAGTAAGTATTGCTATATACAGGCTTAAATACATGCGTCGGAACGTTCGATTTTTTTCGTGAATATCGCGTTTTGACGTTCGAGGTCGGCCGAGCTGTCCAACGAGGTAGGATGCCCTTTGATGAAGGCCCTTTGATGGACGTCGAAACCGCGTTCGCAATTCGCAGGCACCTGGCACGGTGAAACGGCTTAAGAGTCATAGATTTTATTCCAGTTCTCAATTTGGTAGGTAGGTAGGTAGGTAGGTAGGTAGTAAAGACCTGCAAGGGCCGGACCGGCCCGACCCTGTTCTTAAAAAGCCCTGCCCGTAGTGACATTGGACCGGTTAGGTTAGGTTTAACCTAACCTTTGAAATAAAATAAAGAGTAGGACCGGGCCTGGGCTTTTTTTTGTACAATTTTTCGGGACGGGCCGGGCTAGACTTCGAATAATAAATCAGGGGTTGGACAGGGCTTTTTAAGGATTTTTCTTCGAAACTAAATAATCACAATTTAAAATAATAAACAATAATGATAAAAACCGACGTTGGTACAGATAGATACATATAGATTATACTCTAGGGAGAGTAGATACAATCACAATGCATATAATAATATATTGATTGGTGGGTATAATAAAGCTATTTATATACCATAATAATATTATATTTTTTTTTCACAATATTTTTTAGACCTGGCCGGACCGGGTCTATAGTAGCTAGCACGGCCGCCGGAATTTTTTTTCAAGTTTTTTTTCGTTATTACCTGCAGCCTATCACTTCAGCCTTATCATATTTAACGAAAATGTTCCGATTCTTTTCAAAATTATATATATATTAGTCATATCGCAGTGACAGTATAATATGGCAATATAAAATATTTCCGTCATAGACGAAATAATATCCAAGGATATGTGGTCCGATAGTCGGTCAACACATCAAGCCATGGACATTCTTAATTAATGAAATGCATTAAAATATATTTTGTTAAGCAAAAACACAAAAATAAATGATGGGCGTTGCATTATATGGGTGCTTTGATTTGAGTATCTAATTGTAAGATTTAAAAAAGTGGTAGATTGTGGGGGGGAGTTTTATGTACGATGTCAGTACATTTTAAACACTTGAACGCCTATAAAATTCATAAAAGTTCACAAAAATATGTAATAAAGTCATAGGCGGACATCGGGGGGGGGGGCTTAGCCCCCTAAATATTTTAATAGCCCCCAAAAATCGAAACTTAATTTGAAATGTCATTCGTTGTTTTCATAATTATGTTATCGTTTTGTTATGCATTATTATTAGTTTAACACATCTATCACATAAAACTAGTTTTAAAAATGTGTGGAGAAATGGCCTTTACGAAATGACCGATTCAATTTACCATGCGGTCACGCGCATATCCGATAGACGACGTGTTATCACTTCTTAATTAGTTCTTATCAATATGTCAAGCGTCGGCTCGCGGGATCACGACCGTTGTCGTTGTGACGTTATTTTAATATAGAAGATGTTATAAGAGTTTTGTCAGAAAACAAAACCATATTCCCTAATTTGCAAAAACTATTTACCATAGCATTAACAATACTTATCAGATCGGATACTTGCGAAAAAAGTTTCAGTGCAATGAGAAAAATAAAAACTTGGCTAAGGACATCCATGCTTCGCGATAGGTTCAGCGATCTTTCTATTCTATATATTGAAAAAGATATGTCCAAAAATATAAATAGCAATGATATTTTGAATATATTTGCTGATAAAAATGGGTATTTGTAATTAAAATAAAATAAAATATTAACTATTAAGTGTTCTTTATTTTTATTACAACTTAAACATATTCATATTTGTATTATTAATATAGTACACTTGTGCATGGGAAGGGGGTGCGGGGGCGAAGCCCCGCGGGTCACTTTACATTGGATTATTATAGCCCCCCTAAAAATTCAACCAAATGTCCGCCTATGAATAAAGTTTTGAGTTAAAGAACATAATATTGTATTCAATTTTTATCAGTACAGGCTCGGAAATTATTAGAACATTATAAACAAAAATCGACATTGTTCGAAACACGTACGAAAATACGGTCGATGGGCCGAATACTTCTCCGAGATAGGTAGGTATAAAAATACCATCATATTCAGATAGGTAGGTGTAGTTTATTATGTAACCAATGCTACAAGTGCGTGCTACTCAGTTTTTTCCTCAACAAGGAAAATCTACGAACGATAAATGTGTTTTTGATTAGATGGGTTAGTTGATTTGATTAAATTTGAATACAAAATTATTAGACGAGTGACTATTTATTTTCATTTATTTTTATTTATTTTTACACAATGTTTGTTTATAGTTAAACAAAACGGTTATTAAATACGTGTAATTCCGTAATTATTATTCGTATGAACTTGAACGTTTTCGTCACTTATAACAATTTGATTAATTTTTAGCTATTTAGCAATACTATGAACGGCATGAACCATATCATGTATTATTCGTATAATCGTATCGGTCTACTTGTACCACTTATTACATTTTACAAAATACTCGATAATATTAAATATAATTAATACAATAATAAGTTACATTGATTTCGACCGTCGGGCACAACCAACCATTTGTGGAGTGTAGGTGTACACTGTAGTGTACTAAGTAGCTACTAGGTATAGGTACTTACTACTTTGTCTATTTGACATGTGCGAATCTCCCAGATCGTTATGTCCGTATAAATTATAAATTGTATAAACAAAAGTTAAAAAAAAAAAGAGAAAAGGTGTTTAAGTCGATGTCCCTCTGATGTACGGTATGTTACAACTTACAAGTTACAGTTTCTATAGAATGGATGGTATTAAATTTGAATTCACAAATATAATATTATGGTATCACCCGTATCGGATAATACGCGGTAAATCAACTTTATACCTTAAACTCGTGTGCTCTAGGCTAATGACTGTCTCTAGAATAAATTCAGATTAGCACTGTTAACCTTTGAGGTACGATGGTATGCGTTTTGTCAGTTCTTCGTCTTTCCCTAAACTGGAATGACATTTAAAATTAATGATAAATAATAATAAAAAATATAGGTATAAAATTAGAATGGTACCTAATTATTATATGA